AGATTTCCAACTCTTCGCTACAGCAATGTATGTAGCACTTAAAGCTACTCACAGTCTACAAATAAAAGTGGAGTAGTCCGTCTTTCTAATAAACATTAATAAACTTAATTTATGCAGCACCTTTCTTGCAAGGTTATAAATTGGAACAATGTCAAGGGCACCAGAGGAGGGAGGTTTTTGTCTCCCACCACTTGTATAAAAATTGAAGGAAATATGCAGCAAGGTTGAATGTCAAACCTGATTGCAGCCCCTTATTAGCAAAGACCATAGTGGGAATGTACTCATCCCATAGGAAGCAATACATCAAATTACATCAAACTATATAACTGTATCACCATAAAAAGAAATTGCATTAACAAGACGAGATTTTAGTCAGAGGAGGGTCCAGCCTCATGTTACTCTAAGTGATTTCTTATGTTTTAAATTCTTTCAGACAGTTTGGTTATAATACATCTTGTGCTACAATTTTGGCCCACCCAGTGCTGCGTCATACATCAACTGTATAAGTATTTAACGTCTAATTTTTCAACAGGCAGAATGGACATATTTTCTCCTGCTGAGTGTAAAGCCAGGAGCATAAATTGTAACATTAGAAAAACATCAGAGCTGATGAATTGTGCACGTCTATTCTAAACAGTGCTGCTCACCAAAAACCTGAAGCATCAAAGCAGATGATGCTGTTAAAAATTGATATTTTTTGCATTTTTTGTGTATGTTCTAGGTGAATTTTGTCAACTTTGGGAGCCTAGTTTGTAGCCACACGGTAAACATAACTGAAAACCAAAAACGATTTATCTTCGAATGATGAGGGCAAGGTTACACAAGGTAAAGCCTCATTAAATCACACTTCCTCACCTTCATTCGGACATGAGTATAGGTGGTCTCTGTGCTGTGTCAGTGAACTTGTGTGATTCTTCAAAGGAAAAATTGGGAATCCAGATGTGCTTATATGTATTTATCTTATGTACATCAAAGAGTTTTAAATTTCCATCTTAAATAGTTTTGTTGCTTTGATTTACTGCCTGATATGTTTCTTGTTTTTGTATCTACATGAAAGCTAAATGAATGATTTATCATTTCCATTTCAGGCAAGCAAGTGCAGTAAAGACGTATATATATATCGCTTTAAAAACACAAGATGAGTTTGCACTGAAGTTCTTTAAAAAACAGAAGTCACATGACTGGAAAAAGGAGAATAAAAATGGAAA